CCCCAGAGGGGTGAGGGCAGCCCGGTCTGGGCACTGGCTCTTCTCTGCCGAGCGCTGGTGCTGGCGCAGCTCGCGGGGAGCTGCCTCGCCGCCGGGTCCCTGCCGGGTCCCCGCCGCTCTCCGCGCTGGAACCCCCGGAGCGAGGGCATCTCGGCCAAGTTGGTGCTTTTTTTATTTTCTAGACAGCATCCCCGCCGGCGGGGCGGGCCTGCACTCCCCCGGGGAGCCCGGAGCGGCACCTGGGAGAGGATGATGGCGCGGGGACGGGGGGAAACGTTAATAAAGGACTCTTTTTTCGGTGATAATGCGTGTCTGACAGAGACTGTAGAACTAAAATGTTGAAGCAAGCACAGCTGCCTTTTTTATTTTTTATTAATCATAGGGCTTTTGTCAAGCACCAAAATCCAAGCGACGGCGAGATTCAATCCAGAATCTGATGGTCTACAACTGAGGTGTCACTTCAGCCTCTTCAGAAGCCCGCAAATGAGAGGCAGCAAAAGCATGTTCTGATGTAAAAGTGTTTTCTTCATTTCTTCCCTGTCAGCTCTGAGGATTTTATCCACACTGGTAAAAACCCCCCAAAATATCGTAGTGTTCACACTGTACCTCCTTTAATAGGCATGGAAGCACAAACAAACATGGACCCACTTTGGAATCTAGGATTTTGGTTCCATTCTTGACAGGTTCCCTTAGATTCTGAGATTGTTGTAATTCGAGATATTTTTAGTTGAAGGTTTTAGCTTGGGCCTCTCTCTGGATTTGGAGGCTTGCAGTATTTCCAGTATGATCATAATTCTGATAAATCTGCTTGCAGTATTGCAGTAAATCTTTAGAAATTCATTTGTCTATTTTGTTTTTGAAAAATCACGAGTACTTTCAGTGTTTGAAATAAAGAAAAAATCAGTTTGATTCTGTTTATTTAACAGTTTCAATAGCTATGCCACTGAAGTTACAATTTATTTGCTTGTCTTTCTGGAACAGAGTGATAGGTTGGCAAGTACAACAGTTACCTTTTTGCAATGTAGAGGGATTTCTCAGCAAACAAAATAGCACATTTAATGTGTCATAGTTTGGTTCCCAAACCATTCTAACATTTGTATAGCAACTACTGTATGAAATGGTGTCAGAAAACCAATTTGAAGCTGGCTAGTCTGCAAATGATAGATTTATAGATAGCTTCCATTTTAGATGTGGAATGCCCAGCCTCCTATTTTTAATATGCCTTTTCTTCTTTTTTTTTTTTCATTTTAAACTACCAAACTGTGATGCTGATTCCCCAGCCCCTGCCCCGCTCTGTGGAAGAATGTGCAAATAATTGATCTTTTGTTTTCAAATCAGACCAGCAATTTTAGGCTCTTACTTTCCTAGCTGAATTTCTTTCTGAAAAGCATGGCACAATGTTTGATTGGTGTAACCTACAAGAGTGTTTGCTTGGATAAGTGGACCTTGGAATTCTCTGAGACTCACAGGGATATGTGAAGAACAGTACTCATGTACAAATTGTCCTGCTTATTGTGCTGGTCTTACACAGGTGAAGACCTCATTGTTAAAACACTGAATTCTACATAAATATTGGGCTAATAATTTTCTACAATTATCTTGCAAAGAAAAGGCATTATCAGAAGAATAATCTTACCAACATTTAGACGTGACAGTTTAAAATGTGAATGCTTAATTTCAATTTCCTTAAAGTTAATTTTAAGCACATGCAATATGTTCTTCCATTGATCCAAACCTTCACTTGTTAAAAAGTGATTAGATTTATCTGTTGAGGAGAGACTATAAGACAAGTAATTAAAATTTATGTAGATTCTCTTACAAACTATTAGCATTACAGCATTTGGACATACGTGATGAAACTTGGAAATGTGAAGTACAAAGCCACTCAGTAACATTCAATGAATGTTGCCAAAGATTAACAGGGCCTTTGAGTAGAAGGATTGCTGTGCATTTATTCCTATTTCTTTTTCCTTCTTTAACCTTTTCTGTCTACTTTTTCTAACTCTTGATGGTTCATGTTAATAATTCATTTATATTTAATTGAAGTTTGGAAACCAAGTTACTTTTAGGGTAGTTTTGTATACTGTTATCTTGCTTTATAAAAAAAAAAATAAAAAAATCCAGATGATCAAGTAAGGTGCCACAGCTGAGTTCTGCAGTAGTTTCTATTTAAATTGCATCATTCTGTATTTGAAAATATTTCACAGCTCATGTTCCAAAATAACATCCTGACTAAGGGGATTTTTTTTCCTAATTTGACATATGGCAATGATAAATGTAAACAAAACAGAATACTAATCTTTTGCTGCTTATTTAATGCAAATAAAAAAAAAATCATCTAAATTGGCATCTCCCTGCTCCTTGAAAATATGCTTTCACTCAATCGTACGGCTAGACCTTGATCAGTATTCTTTGTTCTCTTAAAATTTACATTCAGTTGTGGCCAGGCAAGAAATGCCCCTGTCATTCCAATGATACACAATGTCAAATGATTTGCCGGGATCTTCTACAGACTCATTCAAAATCTCCTGAATCTCAGTGGGAGCTGGACTGGGCCATGGAACTACTCAATGTTTGTGCCTGACACCAGAGAACTTGGCCATCCCATTGCCATAGAGCTTTTCTATGAACAGAGGGCTATGCACTATCTATTAAGATTATTTTTGACTGGATAAATTTACTGTTCTAAATTACTTTTGTCTCTAAGCATGCCCTTGTTGACTTCTGTTTGAACTGCAATGGTAAGAAAATATTTTTTCATAAATTTATTTATAAAATTAATAGAATGGTTGCAATGGAAGACTTGCAACCATTCTACCTAGTATTACATTCCTAGATTTTGCCTTGCTGTGATAGTAAGACTACAGTCTTACAGTTGGTCTTTGTTTCAGCAGAGACTTACAATGTCCATTCCTTGGGAGCAGCCTAAGATATAAGGAGAATTCTATTGAGAACCTGACAAAATAATAAATATTACTGCTTACATACATGGTGTGCTTTTCAGCTTTGGCTGTTAACATGAACACCAAAGAACATGGCCCCACACGTATCAACTGTTTTCTTATATTATATATATACATAAGTTTATAAAACCCAAAAAAATAAATTAAAACATTCCACAGACATCTGTCCTGAGAGAATGGATGTGAGAACAGATGAACAGAAGTTTGTTATATCATTTAATACACAGCTGGGAGGCTGATATTATGGCAATAAGCATAGAAAACCAGTTTATAATAGGTTAGAAGTGCAAGCCAAAATCAAGTATATATGTGCATTCAACATCTGTGCAACTGGAAAAAATAAATGATTAGTACTCATGAATATAATATTGCCAGTTGTATGCGTGAGCTACCCAAACTAAACTTGTTGTACTTTTTTAAAGTCAACTAGAATTCTATTGGTATATCAATTTTTTTACACTGTCTACAAAATTCTCTTCATATAGGCAATGTTTCTTGGGGAGACCATTTCCCACAAAAATTAACGATTCTAAATGCCATTGGCAGCTGTGAAAACCTAAGCAAGAATATTTATAAAGTATAGGCATCACTAAGATTGCAATTAAGTGGGTGGAACTCCACTGAAATAAAAAGATAGAACAGAATTTATTTTTACAAGAGGTGAAAATAAAAGTTCCTTTCATGTTAATATTTAAAATTTCAGATCTTGGGTACATTCATATTCCTGTAGGTAACTGTTTCTTTCTGAAGAGAGATTAAAAAAGAAACCAAATTCCTCAATCTTTTATATGCTTGTGATTTTATTTACATTTGCCTGATCCCCACTGATGTGCATCAATAATCATATACAATTATGGATTTTCACTGAGCATTTAGTGTTCAAAGACCATCTATGTAATTGAATAATCAGTGATTGTTACCTACGTTGAGTGCCTGTTCTCTTGTAAAATTTTAGATGTTTCTATGAAACTAACTTAACCATTAGTTAGAACTAAATTATTTACACATTGTAATGAAATTAGTGAGCCCTTTTTCATGTACCTATGTAAAATGGCATCCTTGTGACCCAATAATGTGAAAAGTTTCATATGTTAAACTTAGCATAGGTTGAGTTGGGAACCTTCAAGATCCTGTCTTAAAAAGACTTGGAAATATTGCAATTGCAGACCTGCATCCACATATAGTCTCACTTGTATATGTTGCAGATTAAACATCATAAAACAATACTTTTAAACCAAAGGGGTTTTTCCTATTTTTTTTTTTAACACTTGCAATGTAAAATAAATTTTAAAAACCCAAAACTTTTCCACAGTCTTAAAACCCCCAACCTTTTTTCATAGTCCTATGAAATGTTCTCTAGAGACATTGGAATACGTGAAAACAGGATTTTCCTTCTCAGTTTTTGCAATTGCCAGTTTCATAGAAAGGTAAACATTGGATGATTCATGATATAAACAATTTACTCGCTCCATTTTTGTTTTGTTACCGTTAGTGGTTTTACAGATAAAAGCCAAATTGTATCCACTATTTTTCAAGAACCAAATGCAGAAGAGGAAAAGGATATTTATGTAGTGTGTATTTGCTAAGTATTACATATTTTTACATAACGTTGTCAAGCATACCAAGCTCTCTCTTTTTCACTGATAAATACATATATAAGAAATATATTCCCTGATGATGAATCCAGGTAATACATCTGTCAAAGGAAAGTAATATATTTTTACTATAAATATATTTTAAAGTATTCTGTATAGAACAATATTTACAGGAATGGTTATTCTAATGATAGGAAAAACTGTTTCTAATTTCAGTAGATAGATTCCTCAATTTTTTAAGTGATATAATGTAACAAACAAGCAATTCATTGTCAGATTCAACTTATTAGGAATGTCTTGGATTTGCATTTTATTTCTTAATAATACACTGGAAAAATGAGTGGGCCAAAAACTAGTTTACTTTATATGTTAAATTTCTGCATTAGAATTGATAAAAGCTGAACAGCTGTTGCCATTAGCTACAAATTTTGAACTAATATATAGCTTATAATGGTACAATAAACAATAGTAAACAAATATCCTTCAGAATTTAGGTGCTGAAGAAAGGTTGGAAATAATTTTGTTCATCCCCAGTAATGTCGTTCCTCATGTCAGTTTGTTCCTGCTTAACATAGGAAAAACAATCTTCAAATATTTAGGATTGTTTTTTTACATGATAGAAATTATTAAATAAGCTGTTTGCATTGTTTTTTATACCTCCCCTTCAACCATGAGCAACAATTTTCATCTGAATACTCCTGTGGGGCAAATTGGGATCAATTTTGCAATAAAAGTTCCAGATAAACTTAACAAATATAAGAATATGTATGATATAGGCAGACAGGTATTTAAAATCCACAGATACCTCCTTTAATGGCCAAGCCTCCTTTACTAACTCCAAATTGTAATTTTGTCATAGGTCTATGTTAAATGAAATTTCTTTGGGTCAGGTGGAACTGCCGTAAGTCTTCATGTTACAGCTAATGATAAAAAAATTCAACAACTCCACATATGTGGTTCAAGGGTGATTATAATTTTAAATCAGAATCATAATTTCTGGTACAGATTTTCAGCAATGTAAACATCCCCTGAAGTCAATAAATCCATGTTAATTTGCATGAGTTAGGGATTTATTCTTCCCTTCCTTTCCTTCATACACTTGAATCGAGATGTTTCAATAAGTTTGGGATAGAATCTTATCTGAGCATAAGAAGCTTCAAGATCAAAACCACCTGTGTTAATAATGGATGTCAAATACTGTTGTCCAAGACACATCCAACATTCTAATTGGCTATATTGCAAAGCTGGCCTGAGGTGGGAAGTATAGATACATCCCAAATTACAGATGCTGGAAACCAGCACCATTGCCAAATGACACTTGTTCCTTTTTCTTACACACGGGAAGAAAACTATGGAATCTTTGCATTTCTTTGGATAGCTATTTTATGTTGTTTGTGAATGCAGCAGCAATAAACCCACCTCATAATGAAATAATGACTTATAAACTTGTAAACTTATAAACACTATTGGGGAGAAAAAAGCCCTATGTTTTTCAACAACCTTGAGGAGCAGATTAATTTTTAGTATAAAACTATAAATTCCAATCTCTGTAACCAATTGTCAGAAAGCCGATAGATTGCCTCTCCCCTGGGAATATTCCATGGCAGTACCTAGGAAGTCCTCTCCTGAGGGCTTGTCTCTTTTAAAGTTTTTTGGTGAACAGGGGCATCTGATGCCTCCAGAATGTCTGTTCTGATATCCCCCTTAGGGTTCCTCTTTGATCCAATTCTTTGTGTAGATCTTTAGGTTTTTCATTTTGGGGACACTAGCTCATGTGAATCTCAGACTCTTAAAATGTCTAACCCTCAGAGTATGTGTCTCTATCTTAAAGCAACTCCCATCATTGTTGAAACTTCAGAAATTGTGCCAAGAAAAGCCATCTTTTTTTGTAAACTTAAAAAGTAGAGCTGTCCCATGTGGGTTCATATTCCTCCCCACATTTACATGAGGGTACAGCTCACATCCGCTACCTAATTAAACCTCTGTTCTGCCTGCTTTATTCTGAGGCTATCAGCTTCTGTGGAATAAAAATATGCCTAAAATCCCGTCTGTCCCAGGCATGTAGCACTTAGTGCACACCTTTCCTGGCAAGCAGCATTGACCTTCCCCACAGAATGGCTATTTGTTGTTATTTTTGTAGTAGCAAAAGTATTCTAGATGCTAATGAAGGTCTTATATTTAGTAAGTGCACTGTTATGTGATGGCTGTGAAGCTGTCAGCAGTGCTGTTAAAGAGCACAAGCCTAACACAAAGGTGCACTGCACTGAGAATGGAGGGGTTTATGTTATATAGAAGGCAAGTATATTTAATGAGTTTATTTTGGTTAGCCTTTGGTTTAGTTTCAGGTCTGCCAATACTGACATCATTTTTCCAAGCAGGGAGCACCATCTAAGACTTCTCTGCATCACTATCCTTGGGGTGGGCCTGTGTGTGGGCTGATGCAGTGCTCAGCACTCCAGATCATTTCACTTTGGCAACCATTCTGCTTCTGCTGTCTCTATCTCTATAGTCTATTTTAGGGGCTTACGGAGCACCAATCCACCCAACTAAAATATAACTGAAACAAGATATTCAGCATTAAATAAGCAAAATGTAAAAGACTCAAAATAGGCTATTTTTGTTATTATTATTATTATGGGGTTAAATGACTTAAACATAGATATCTTCCTACTCCTCCTCCCACATCTTTCTTTAGTTTGTCTCCTCTTGTTCACTTAGGATGCACCGATGGCCCACAGGCTTGTGCAAAAAAAGAATGAACTCTGTTCTGTGATGCGTCCATGGGTGCCACATAGTCATCTAGCTAAATTCTTTAAACAAAAATGTTATTGCTAGAATTTTGTCTGTCCTGAGATCCTTGCAGTAAACCCTTAGCAACCAGAGGGGGCAGGGAGCATCCTTTAGGGTGGTCTCACATGGCCGAATTATGCTGGCATGAAAACACAGCTACGCCTGAACCTGCACTTTAGAGTGAAGTGGATTTATTACGCGGTCTGCAGGTGGATTTTTAAGCAGGTACACCAATGGTAGGTGTTTGGAAGGATATAGGGGAATAACTGACCATATGCTGGGGACTTCAGCTTGCCACAGAGGATCCAAGCTATTTGCTAAGACACAGGCTTCCCTCACGCCCTGCCCCTCGCACCTCTCTCCGGAGCCGCTCAGCACTGCGGCTCCTACCGCCGCTCCCGAAGGCGCTGTGGCGGCATCCGCAATTAACCGAGAGCCACTGCAGGGCTCTCAGCTGTGCCTCTCGCAGATGCCATTTGCCAGCTTGGCACAGGCAGCTCTGCAGCTCCTCTGCAGGCACTCTGGGGTTCGCCTCAACCGAGGCTTTGGCTCGGCTCTGGTGATTCTCCCGCTCTCCGCGCAGGAACTGCCGATGGCGATTAACGTTAAACCCACCAGCAAGGGCCCGGGCGACACAGCACAAACCGCTTCGCTTCCCCGGAGCCTACTGTGGCCTCCCGAGGGACCCTGTTTTCCCCCTGCCTTTCCCGCAGGCAACGCGGCCGCAGCGGGAGGGCTCTGTGCTGGACTCGGCGGCCATTCGCTGCCCGGGGGATGGCGGCTGCCATATAGGTCCTGCAGCGCCAGCGAAGGGGAGGCGGCGCTGGAGCGGCCGCTCCGATCCTCGCTCCCTCCGTCCGTCGGCGGGCAGCTCCCGCCAGCGAGCCGCTGGCCGGCGGCGGGACCTATATGCTCTCGCGGAAGGTTACCACTGCCTTGCACGGAGGCTGCCGACGGAAGCGGTGCTGAGGCTTCTGAGGCAGCACTTTGTCAAGGAGCGCCTGATTGGCTAACGGGACTCTGCAATGGTTATCTGGTAAGAGTCAAGGCCTCTGATTGGTCGTGCTGTACCTGCAATGCGTCAAGTGAGGATGCTGGGGTGCG